CACTGAAGGCACTGGCAAAAAACAAGGCTCCAGGAATTGACAAAATACCAAATGAGATGTTTCAACAAACAGATGCGGCACTGGAAGTGCTCACTCGTCTATGCCAAGAAATTTGGAAGACAGCTACCTGGCCAGCTGACTGGAAGAGATCCATATCTATGCCTATTCCCAAGAAAGGTGATCCAACCCAACGCAGAAATTATTGAACAACATCGTTAATGTCACACACAAGTAAAATTTTGCTGATGATCATTCAAAAGCGGCTGTAGCAGTATACTGACAGAGAACTGTCAGAAATTCAAGCCAGATTCAGAAGAGGACGTGAAACCAGGGATATCACTACTGATGTCAGATGGATCCTGGCAAAAGCAGAGAATACCAGGAAGATGTTTACCTGTGTTTTATTGACTATGCAAAGGCATTCGACTGTGTGGATCATAATAAATTATGGTTAACATTGCAAAGAATGGGAATTCTAGAACACTTAATTGTGCTCATGAGGAACCTGTACATAGATAAGAGGCAGTCCTTCAGGTAGAACAAGGGGATAGTGGTTTAAAGTCAGGTAAGTTGTGCGTCAAGGTTGCATCCTTTCACCATACCTATTCGATCTGTATGCTGAACAAATAATCCGAGAAGCTGGACTATATGAGGAAGAACGGGGGCATCAGGATCAGGGGAAGACTCATTAACAAACTGCAATATGCAGATGACAGAACCTTGCTTGCTGAAAGTGAAGAGGACTTGAAGCACTTACTGATGAAGATCAAAGACCACAGCCTTCAGTGTGGATTACACCTCAACGTAAAGAAAACAAAAATCCTCACAACTGGACCAACAAGCAACATCATGACAAATGGAGAAAAGATTGAAGTTGTCTAGGATCTCATTTTACTTGGATCCACAATCAACACCCATGGAAGCAGCAGTCAGGAAATCAAAAGATGCATTACATTGGGTAAATCTGCTGCAAAAGGCCTCTTTAAAGTGTGGAAAAGCAAAGATGTCACCTTGAAGACCAAGGTGCGCCTGACCCAAGCCATGGTGTTTTCAATCGCCTCATATGCCTGCAAAAGCTAGACTATGAATAAGGAAGACCGAAGAAAAGTTGATGCCTTTGAATTGTGGTTCTGATGAAGAATACTGACTATATTATGGACTGCCAAAAGAACGAACAAATCTGTCTTAGAAGAAGTACAACCAGAGTGTTCCTTGGAAGCAAGGATGGTGAGACTATGTCTGGCTTACTTTGGACATGTTATCAGGAGGGATCAGTTCCTAGAGAAGGACATCATGCTTGGAAGAGGGTCAGCGAAAAAGAGGAAGATCCTCAAGGAAATGGACTGACACAGTGGCTACAACAATGGGCTCAAGCATAACAAAGATTGTGAGGATGGCGCAGGACCAGGCAGTGTTTCGTTCTGTTGTACATAAGGTGGCTATGAGTCGGAAGCTACTAGGTGGCACCTAACAACAACAATAAGTGAAAGAAGCCAGTCTGAGAAAGCTACATGTTGTATGATTCCAAATATATGACATTCTGGGAAAGGCAAAACTATAGGGACAGTGAAAAGATCAGTGGCTGCCAGGGGTACAGGGGAAGGAAGGGAGGGAGAGAGAGATAGGTGGAGCACAGGACATTTTAAGGGCAGTGAAACTATTCTGTATGATACTGTCATGGTGGACACATGACATTATGCATTTGTCAAATCCATAGGATTGCATAATACAAAAAGTGAACCTTAATGTAAACTATTGACTTTAGTTAATAATAATGTATCAATATTGGTTCATCAATTATAACGAATGTACCACAGGAATGCAAGATGTTAATAGGAGAAACGATGTGCAGGGGGGAGGGAATACATGGGAACTCTCTGTGCTTTCTGCATAATTTTTCTATAAACCTAAAACTGCTCTAAAACATAGTCTATTACAAATATAAAACAAAACCTACAAGATCTTCAACTTACTAGGTATGCATCTCTGGACATGTCACTTAAAAAAAACTGGGCCTCAATTTCCTCATCTGTAAAAGGAGGATATAACACCTAATTGTTGTGAGAATCATAGCAGGTAATGTGTCAGCTGAGAAGTGCAATCAAATGTAACTCCTTTCTTTTTCCATTTATTATCATCAACACAACTGCAGCTTCTCTAGACTTGGCAAGGCCTGTGAGCTAGACCCCAGCATAGGCTTCCATGCTGTCCAGCTGAAGAGCAAACTGATGGCAAGTCCACATGAGACGCTGGGGTCTGAATTAGGTGATGCAAGCTAAATGCATTTTGCTTTCAGACAAACAGGGAGTGTGTAATAATATCATACTGCTATATAATTGACTCTTGTTTTCTCTGCTTTGGGGATAATCTTCCCAATAAATCTTGACTAGCAACTTCTTAGATATTCCAGGGGAAAAGTGCCTTCCCTGGGGCAAAGGGTCAGGGGAAGAGGAGAAATTACAGCACGGGCAGAGCCCAGGCTCTTCACCCTCAAGGGGCTAAGTATCTTCTGGCTGAGCTTCCCATCAGGCACACAGAGGTAAATAAAGAGACCATGGGAACAGCTCCTAAGAGGGTGGGATACAGTTAGGGCCCTACCCCGCTCCTGACCCCTTTGAAATTAGAAATAAGTAGAGATTTAGCTCTGAGGCTAGAAAGCCCAGTAAGAGAATAATGTGGGAAAGAAACCCTGGGATCAAACATTAAATAATTACATCACATGTGTTGCTGTGAACCCTCTGTAACCTAAACTTCCAAGAAGGCCATTTTCTCAGAACTGAGAAATGTCAGACTGTCCACTCCAAAGCTTGTCCTCACCAAGCTGGGCTGTGTGGCTATCCACATGGCCATCACTGAGGCGTTGCCACCTCCATTTAACTTAAAAAGCTTTTTACATTTTACACGCGCATTCAGGGCACACAGAGCTGTGTAATTAACATCTGGGGTTTGCATCTAAAACATCAAGGAACTGAGACAGGTGAGTTTAGAACTCTAGCAGTTCTCCACGGCTACTTTTAAAAACAGAAAGGCATAACAATATATCATGAGTTTACGTAACACTGAGTATTTACAAAACAACTTCATATCCGTTATTTAGTTTGTTCTTTATACTAGCTCTGTGAGGCAGGCAGAGCAAGTATCATTAACTCCATTTAACAAGGGAGACAACTGAAGCTTCTGAATTGTGTACTCAGGGTCACACAACTAGTTACGTCATAGAGCAGGATTCCAATGCATGTCTTTCTGACACCAAGCCCAGGACACAGCTGCTTCCTTTCATTAATCATCGACAACACTCATTGAGCATGTATGGGGTGCTCCATATACAAATGGACATTCATCTCAAGAACAGAGGGGAAGTATGCATGCTCTTGCTCTGTGCCCAGATACCATATGGGGGACAGAACTTACCAGAGTCCCTGTGATCAGAAACTAGCCTTAGAATGTCTCCGGGTTGTCCATCAATGTTAAAGCAGACAGTGAGATGGCTCAAGGGAAAATCCACAACAAAATGGGGATCTCCATCCGCTGCCAGGGCAGGAGAAAAGGAGAGAACGAGAAAAAGCATTTACTGGTGGCTTCTGTGTGTAAGTGCTGTTTTACATTTTCTCATGCATTAATTACTTAATCCTGACAACAATCCTGTAAGGATGATATCCTCAGTTTATAAAGGAGGACGATGAGTGGGAGGTGAAGTGACTCACCTAAGTCACCAGTTGGTACATGGTAAAGTAAATATTCGAATGCAGGTCCTCTAAATTCAAATATAATTCTCCTGTCATCATACTTCAGTTAGATATAGACAACTAAGCTTTGATAGATGATAGGGGCATGAAAAGGAAAGAGTTATTGCCATAAACCCTCAACTATTACTGAGTGCACATTCTTCAATTTCCTATGTAAATTTCTCCATAAAACCAACCAAATCCATTGCTGCCAAGTTGATTTTGACTCATAGCGACCCTGTAGGACACAGCGGAACTGCCCCATAGAGTTTCCAAGGAGTGGCTGGTGGAATCAAACTGCTGACCTTTTGGTTAGCAGCCGAGATCTTAACCACTGCGCCATTACTTTCTCCCTTAATTGCTTAAGTAAAGCAACTTGAATGAGGCTCCTTCCTTTCCTATGATGAGTGCTACGCCTTTCTTCTCCCAGGAAGCCACAGGCTATCTCAGAAACATTCACAGCACCAGCCATATCCCATCCTTGCGTGAGAGTACTAATAACCCAGCCCAATTTACGGTTAAGCTCTCAGCTGCTAATAGAAAGGTAGGCAGTTTGAATCTACCAGCAGCTCCAAGGGAGAAGGATCTGGTGATCTGCTCCTGCAAAGATTACAGCCTAGGAAACTCTATGGGGCAGTTCTACTCTGTCACATGGGGTCACTATGAATCGGAATTGACTCAATGGCACACAACAATAACAAACAAATGAAGCATAAAGAGTCCATAGGATTAGGTGACACTGAGCTTCTGTTAAGAGTGATAGAAAAATTTAGAAACAGTTAATGGTGATGGCTGAACAACAGGATGAACATAATTAATGTCACTGAACTGTACATGTGAAGACTGTTGAAATGGCAAATGTTTTGTTACCTATATATTTATCACAACGGTGGGGGGCGGGGAGTCCATAGGCGGTTAAGAGGTCAGTAGTGCAGTCAGTGATGAGGGTGGGAATCCTTCCTTTGGGTCATACCAACTTTATTTCTCAAATTTTGTCCACAGATGAGACTACAAAGTTCAGCTGGCCCCTGTTCCTTGCCCATTCTCCTCATTTTCATCTCTTTTAAAGATGAACAGCCTTGCCTTGTATTGTACTGACAAAATACTTCCCAACAGTCTACATCAATTCTCTTCTCTTACTAGACTGGAGATTTCATTTCTCTCTAATTTATATACCAAACACAATGTGACTCTGGATGCCTCTCCTCTTTGTATATATTTGTAACCCACTGCTATCAAGTTGATTCTGACTCCTGGTGACCCCATATGTTACAGAGTAGAACTGCTTCCTAGGATTTTCTTGGCTGTAATCTTTATAGAAGCAGATTCCCAGGCTTCTCTTACACTGTGCAACTGGGTGGGTTTGAACCACCAATGTTTGGGATAGCAGCTGAGTACATACCGCTTGCACCACTCAGGGATCTATGTGTACACATATGTGTATGGTGGGGGGGCAGGGGTAGGAGGAGTTCACTCTTTTTTTTATTTTCTTCTTTTTCTTTTTTTTAAACTTTGACAAGTTGTGCTGTCTTCTCCAGTATTGTGTACTGTCTTATCCTTCACCAAAGTTACCACTTATCTATCGTCTATTTAGTGTTTTTCCATCCCTACTCCTCCCCTCCCTTGTAACCATCAAAGATTGTTTCCGTTTGTGTGTAAACATTTTCATAGTGGTGGTCTCATACAATATTTGTTCTTTTGTGATTGACTTATTTCACTCAGCATAATGCCGTCCAGATTCATCCATGTTGTAAGATGCTTCACAGATTCATCATTCTTTATTGTTGCGTAGCACTCCATTGTGTGTATGTACCATAGTTTGTTTATCCATTCATCTGCTGATGGGCATCTAGGTTGTTTCCATCTTTTTGCTATTGTGAACAATGCTGCCATGAACATGGGTGTGCATATGTCTATTCACGTGACAGCTCTTATTTCTCTAGGATATATTCCTAGGAGTGGGATTGCTGATCATATGGTATTTCTATTTCTAGCTTTCTAAGGAAGCATCATATTGTTTTCCAAAATGGCTGTACCATTTTGCATTCCCACCAGCAGTGCATAAGTGTTCCAATCTCCCTGCAGCCTCTCCAACATTTGCTATTTTCTGCTTTTTTGATTTGTGCCAATAATGCTGCAGTGAGATGGTATCTCATTGTGGTTTTGATTTGCATTTCTCTAATGACTAGTGATCGCAAGCATTTGCTCATGTGTCTGTTGGCCGCTTGAATGTCTTCTTTGGGGAAGTGTCTGTTCATTTCCTTTGCCCATTTTTTAATTGGATTCTTTGTCTTTTTATTGTACAGGCGTTGGATTTTTAGGAGTTCAGTCTTTTCAAACTCTAAATTAATATCCTTGGTGTAACTGCTGGAAACCCCCTTTTGCCTCTAGCATCACTCATGAGGACCCTTGAGAGAATCTGGCTGATCTCATTGTGAAGGGCTTCAAGCACCCTGTGAAAGCCAACATATACAGAAATGCATGGTGTTGGCCTTCTGCAGATGGGAAAAAAAAAAATACCTATAGGAGTTAAAAGTTTGCGTCCACACTTTAAGTATGAATATAGCTTATCTGACAGTTCTTGAGAGTTTCTACATGCTCATATCACAGCATTTCTACTCAAGTCTTCCAAACTCCTTTACAAGGAAAGATGCAGCTTGCTCCAAGAAAGGGGAAGGGATCTGAAAGTCAATACATCCAAGAGGAAGGTTTTCTTGCATTCCATAAAACATGAGTGTGCTCAAAGGAAATATATCTGTCCAGTGGAGACTGTGTTTCTATCTCCATAGCTAATCACATTGTCCCAGGCTTTATAAACTTGCATGTACAGCACACCAGCAGAAAGGCAATAATAAAGACAAAGAATGACATGCACATTTTAAGAATAAAAGCCAGTCCTTGTGTTGTTACTCCAACTGGATTTCTATTATAATCCCAGGAAGCTGGCAAAAGGAAATGTTACGACTTTTTTTATCTCTTCTTCTCTTCTAAAGATAAGGATTGTTGTTGTTGTTATGTTGTTAGGTTTGTTCTGGCTCATAGCGACCCTGTGTACAACTGAACAAAACACTGTCCAGTCCTGCACCATCCTCACAATGGTTGCTATGTTTGAGCCCATTGTGGCAGCCACTGTGTCAGTCCATCTCCTTGAGGGTCTTCCTCTTTTTTGCTGACCCTCTACTTTACCAAGATGATGTCCTTCTCCTAGGATTGGTCCCTCCTGATGACATGTCCAAAGTATGTGAGATGAAGTCTCACCACCCTCCCTTCTAAGGAGCATTCTGGCTGTACTTCTTCCAAGACAGATTTGTTCATTCTTCTGGCAGCTCACAGTATATTCAATAATCTTAACCAACACCATAATTCAAATGCATCAATTCTTCGGTCTTCCTTATTCATTGTCCACCTTTCACATGCATATGAGGTGACTGAAAACACCATGGTTTGGGTCAGGAACACGTTAGTCATCAAAGTGACATCTTTGCTTTTTAACACTTTAGAGAGGTCTTTTGCAGCAGATTTGCCCAAAGCAATGCGTCGTTTGATTTCTTGACTGCTGTTACCTTGGGCATTGATTGTGGATCCAAGTAAATTGAAATCCTTGACAACTTCAATATTTTATCCATTTATCATGATGTTACTTATTGGTCCAGTTGTGAGGATTTTTGTTTTCTTTATGTTGAGGTGTAGTCCATCCTGAAGGCTATGGTCTTTGATCTTCATCAGTAAGTGCTTCAAGTCCTCTTCGCTTTCAGCAAGCAAGGTTGTTAATGAGGCTTCCTCCAATCCTGATGCTGCCCTCTTCTTCATATAGACAAGGATTAAAAAAAAAAAAACACCTTGCGTGTACAGATATTTGTAGCACCAGAGGCTGGAAGTGTGGGCACACTTCAGTTCTCTAAAACAAATGTCTTTTAAACTTAGTAATTATAAAATTGTGCTTCTGCTATCCATCTATTCTTTTATCAGGGCCATTGCCAGGCTTCCTCTGGACAGTGTTACCTCCACAGTGTTTATATAAGGGTTTTATGATGGTCCTGGTTCTTAGCATTAGCCTCAAGATGTTGGCTTGGGCTAAATAAATATGGGCCCTGAGGCCTTGTTCTCTGAGCGGATATCTTAACTGGCTTCAGGGAATTCCTGGTTGCCCACTTTCTGAACAATTCTTACTCTCAATTTCGGCACAACTGCATTCTTTTTCTTTACCTGATGTTTTAGAGATTTTAATTCTTGGGTTGTACGGTCTCTTGAGAGCAGGTCCTAGAAAGGAGGAGGGAGATAACAACCGCTGTTATTCATTAAAGAAGATGAGTGAGAGGTACAGAAAGAACACGGTTGGGATGGAATAAAATATAACTTTCAGATCCATTTGTAGCAATTTAAAGAATAAAAAAAATATTTAAAATGTCATGTGTTTTAAAGAGGGAGATTGGCCTCACAAGATACAAGTGAAGTCATCAAATGGGGAGGCTTAATTATTTCATTCTTTTATAAATTAGACTGTTTTCTTTTCTGTAATTTCTGTGCCTATGATAGGGAGAAATAGTCTATCACACTTAAAATATATTTATAATCCAGTGTCTATAGATATGTATAAGCCTAATTCATAAAGCCCTAGGGAAACATAAATATTAGGTTAAAGAATAACCTAGAAGTAAATTCATTTCTATAAATTTCACATTTTACTTCAAATTGTTTATAGTTACAAAACTATGCTCCTCTTCACTGGTTTTTGCCCCTCACAGAAATTAAAGATGAAAAAGGTCTAAATGTTTTTATATCCCTCCCTTCCCAAGACAGGTCCCTGTAGGACATCAGCAGAATGCAGGTGAACCACGAAGGAGAAGGGATTACTCCATCTGGATGACTGTTTTGATGAACATTAGTGAGTGAAAGCTGCCACAGGCACTCAAAAACAATTTTTTTTTTAATTTTAAAAATCATCAGAGCTTTAAAAAAAAATGGAGATTGTTCTGAAGACTAACTGATGCATCAGGAAAATGTTATTTCAGAAACTCCTTTAAGAGATCAGTTAGTTATTTTTTCATTTGTATTCTTGGCCCGCGGAGTCTCATACCATTTGCATTTGATCTTTCCTGAAGCTACTGAGATATGAGTTGCTGACATATAATAAACATGTCACTCAAAAAGCCTTTTTTCCTTGATGTGGCATAGATTTTGCTAGTGTGAAGTAATAGCATCATGCGATTTGCTTTTAATCAGAAGTAAAATTGCACTAATTTTGTCAAGACAAACTCCACTCTTTCTAAATGGGCAACCTACCATTTTTAACCTCATATCAAGATCTGAAATTTTCAATGTATTTCTAGAACTACACTCTTATCGGGAATGTGGATCTAATATTTGCAGAGCACCCATTATGTGCCAAGGACTTTACACATTTAATCCTTGTAACAACCCTCTAGGGAAATTATTATTATCCCCAATTTACAGATGAGGAAATGGAAGCTCAGAGAGGTTCAGAAACCTGCCCCAGGCCTCACAGCTAGTCAGCGGAGAGTCACTGAATGGAACCTCAGCTCTGTCTAGATCCAAACTTCAGGATCTTTGCACTTCCAAGTGCTTCTCAGAGTTTAGAGTACAGGGAACAAACCGACTGCTGTGGAGTCGATTCCCATTCAAAGCGACCCTGTAGGCAAGAGTAGAACTGCCCCATAGGGTTCCCAAGGCTGTAAATCTTTACAAAAGCAGACTGCCACATCTTTCTCCCCGGAGTGGCTAGTGGGTTGGAACCACAGACCATTAGGTTTGCAGCCAAACTCTTGACCCCTGCACCACCAGGGCTCCTCGTGAGTGCAAGTAGTAAATAAGAGAATTGTTGGGGGCCTAGTAAGGTCTGGGTTAATGTCAGTTCCCTCTCTTTAAGAGATGTAAACTTGACAGAATTCTCAAACTGTTACACCTAAAAAGCATGCTCTTTTCCACAAACAGATGTCACCAAGAATTAAATCCTCTGCTTTAGTTCAACTGCCGTTCCTTTCTCTTGTTCTGGTCCCTACTGATTCTCCACATCAAAATGGCGGCAAGACTGACAACGACTGTTTCTGTTTAGACACTGAGTGAATGGGTATCTAAAGGGTGAAGTCTCTCAAGAATCCAGATCTTGATTCTTCACATGTGTTCTCAGGAAAATAAAATCAAGCATACACATAATGTGATGATTATGCTGACATACTTAAAAATAAAAATACAGAAAGGCACATAAAAATGAACTTTGGTTTGCTGGTTCATCTGGTGCCTCTGAAGATGACTGGCTCATGGTAGGCACTTCACTGGGCAACATTTCTGAGCCAAATGCCACCTTTTATCACTTCTCTACCATGATTCACAGTTTATGACAATGTAAATACAGCAATCCAATATATCCTTCAAAGACCATAAGCTTCATTTAGGATTATTGTTTATAAAAATTATAATAATGTAAAATAATAAAGTAATATAAAGTAAATATAAATACTGTATTTACTATTATATTCTATAAAATAAGAAATATAAATATTACTTTATAATAATATGTTTAGAATTATATAAAACAATAATATATAAAATGTAAATAATATTATTTTATAATAACATAAAATAAAATTAGACTATTGATGAGGTAACCCTGGTCTTCAAAGGAGTTAGAATCGACATCTTTAGGTTTAACGTCCCTCCCGTTTTGCCATCACTGGAGTCTTGTTACCTGGCTGCATGTCAGCTCCTCGCAAGCTCTGCATCACTGTTTCAGGACCTATTGCGGCAGATATGCCATAGTTGTCCTCTAGTCTCTCTGTCTGAATTGCTGATTTCTTCAGCTTCATGGAGGTGAATGGGGTGAGGAAGTGATAATTCACTGCCAGAGCCTGGGCCTTCTGCCTCAGCCTCTCCTTCTCTTGCTCATTGTCACTCTGCAGCCAGGAACTCAGCAGCTCTTTCATAGTGAGGTAGCTCCAGAGACGCTCGATGTGGTTGGGGTCCTCCTTGCCATCACCCTTGGGCCTGGAGCTTCCCGTGACATCATTCCCTACCTTCTGGGGCTCCACAGGCACGTCCGTCTTCAGTATGACAAATTTCTTACTGTTGCTGGCTATGACTTCCACATGCAACTGATCCATCTTCCTGTTCACCAGCTTCCCAGCAATGATAATTTCTGAGCCGTTGAAGTAGTTGGGGAACAGGGTTTTGGTGACATGCTCCACTAAGCTGGGTGGATAATCAATGCGGATATCAGACAGGAGAGGAGTCCTAATCTCATCGTAGAACCTGGAGTGGAAGAACAGAGAGACAGAGAGAGAATAAGGGCACTGCCCTGGCTGCAGGTGGACAGGTCCTAAAGGAAATTACGGACTGTCAGGAGTGGATCTAATCTTACAAGCTTTCGAGTCCAATGTTCTACCTCACACAACAGTTCTGAAAGGAGTTTGTTCAGCAGTAGCTTGAACACCACTGGTAAACAGAACTCACTGTCTCACAAGGCTTCATCTCTTTTTCAATAGCTCTTTATAGCAGACCAAAATCTTACTTTCTGAAATTTCTACACTCATTGGTCTCAGTTTTGCCTCTGAAGCAATACAGAATTAGTCTATTCCATCTCACTGTAACAGCCATTTAGATGATTAAAACACACTGCTGTGTATTCCTTGAAGTCCTCTTTTATGTAGCCTAATCATCCCCAGTTTCATTAATTAGTCTTCATACGATACAATCTCAAGATTCTCTAACCACTCTTGGTAAATTTCCTTTGTACACAGCTAAGTTTCTCAAAAGAGCCCTGGTAGTGCAGTGGTTAAGCATTTGGCTGCTAAACAAAAGGTTGGCAGTTTGAACCCACCAGCTGCTCCACGGGAGAAAGATGTAGCAGTCTGCTTCTGTAAAGATTTACAGCCTTGGAAACCCTGTGGGGCAGTTCTACTCTGTCCTATAATGTCGCTATGAGTTGGAATTGATTTGATAGCAATGGGTTTTTGTTTTTAGTTTTTTTTTGGTTAAGTTTCTCAAAGGTCATTGTAAAACATTTTTCTTAGAACCAAACACATATTTCAGATGTGTTCTAACCAACACATTATAGTTTAGAATTCTGACCATGACTTTGACATTATGCTTTTGTGAAATGCAGCATTTACTTGTATTAGCTTTTCTCATAGTTATGCTACATGGTTGCTTCTTGCAGAGTAAGGAGACAATTAAAATTGTCTTTCAAAGATCTAGAGAGCACAGGCTATGGAGTTCAAACTTCTACCTCACCCTCTTCCTCGCTGTACACCTTGGGGCATGAGACTTAACCTCTCTGAACTTCAGTTTCTTCATTTATAAAATTAACAGTACCTACTTTGGAAGACTACTAGTTATCCTGCTAAATCCACTCTTCCCTTCTTTCATAATAATTGAGTTTCAACTAAATATATGCTTATCTAGCTAGAAATATTTCCTAGCCTCCACTGCAATCAAATGTGATCATGTGACTATGTTCTCACCAGTGGAATATGAGTAGACATCATATGTGCAACTCCAACAACACTTGCTTAAAATAAAATGGCTTGCCCTGGCTTTCTGTTCTTTTCTCCCTCCATTTAGCTGGATGACAGAAATGACAGTGACCTAATTTCAACCTTGTAGTTTTGGACAATACCCTAAAGGGTGCAGAGCAATGAAAGGAAGGAACCTGAATCTCTAGATGACCTTATGGAGAAGAATCTAGCCTGTCCAGACTATTACAGATGAAAGAAATAAATATCTATCTCATTTCATCCTTGGTATTATATCATCTCTATTGTGGAAGCTATCCTACCTTCTAGGACTTTTATGAGTATCACATGAGAGGATGCATGTAGAAATGCTTGGCATATTGTAGGTTCTCAATAAATGTTGGGTACTGATATTTTTAGCAGCATGATAACACAGTTGATTTGTTTCAGTGTAATTGCTTTTGCATATGAACACCTTGAATCTCAGTTGTCATACCATGCATCCAATTCTCCCTCTTTGAATCTAGTTTTGAATAATTTTGAAAATGTGCAAAGCAAATTTGTTTTCATTTAAATCTTTGATAAAAACGCTGGGGAAAAGTAGTGACCAGTCCCATACTGAGGCTATATCTTCATTGCACACCACTAGGGATTGCCATTTAGATTGCTCATTCATGAATGTTCTTTGGTTATGGCTATGAAACACTTGTATATCTGCTTAAACCTCCCTTTTCCTTTTAAGGTACATGCCACCTATGCCACAAAGCCGCAGGTTAAAGCACATAATGCTGAACTGGGAGTCAGCATTTCATTGAATCACCAGCAATCATACACCACATCTGGCAATAGTTAACTAAGTTCTAGTTTCTTCTCCACCTCAAAATAATAATATGATCATCGACAAGTCATTTAACCAGTTTTCAAAATGGAGATAACACTACCTCTCCTACCTACCTCGCAGGATGGATTAAGTGTAAATGTACTAGAAAGTGCTTTGAAATGTCAAGAAGCCATTATAACTGTAAGAATGAATTGAGTACCTAATATGTGATAGACACTCTGCTTATACTTTACATGTTTTCACATTATTATACATTCTGACAACTGACTACAATCTTCACCTTATAGATGAGGAAACTGAGGCACAGATAGGTTAAAAAAAACTTGCTTAAAGTCACAAAGCAGGACCAGAATTTGAATCCAGATCTGTGAGGTTTCAAATAAAATAGAATGCTCTCCTAGTATAATGAATTATGATGATTTTAGCACACTCAAAGTCAAGGTGTAGCAAAACACTTCATTTCTGAGTTTCACATTGAATCCAACCCCACCCCCCTCCAGAGAGCCTCTCATTGTCCTGAGAAGACAGACAGACCCAATGAGCTGCGAGCGCGCATCCTCCTCCTCGTGAACGCGTCGTGTGAGGCCACAGTTCTCCAGTGACAGCTTCTCCAGCAGTTTGAAGTCCACGTCATTCCCAATGCCAATGGTGAAGATGCAGATTTTACTTCGGGCAGCCTCTTTGGTGTTGTTGAGAATTTTAATGGTGTGGGTCTCCCCCACAGTGGGTTTCCCATCTGTTAGGAAGATGATGAGGGACACACTCCGGTCTTCAATGTCATTGCGGGCCACATAGTTGTTGAGCAGCCTGATGCCTCTCTGAAGGGCCCCGTTGATGTCCGTGCCTGTGAGCACCAAAACAGGACAGCTCAGGACTTTGCACTCACCTTCTTAACCTGAATCCACCTTCATATCTGCAGTTAACTCTCAATCGTTCAAACATTAACAGAAGTGAGATGTGTGGGAAAAGTCATCTCCACATACGGTGATTTCATGTTATGGGGCCTGTATGGAAACTTGGCAAATGTTTGCTAAATGAATCTAAATGACAGAATTTGCTGCCGCCGCTGCTGCTGTTGTTGTTACTTGCCATTGAGTTGGCTCTGACTCATGGCAACCTCATGTCTAACAAGTGAAAAGTTGCCCTCAACAAAACACTGAATGAGATGGATTGACACAATGGCCACAACAATGGACTCAAACATACCAACGATTATGAAGATGGTTCAGGACCAAGCAATATTTAGTTTCAACATGGAATTATCCCACTATTAAAAAAAAACCCTTCTTCTGGTTCTATCTTAGTAAAGAAGTCTTCAGTACCTTAGCATTCATGACTTCTACATCCTTTTCTGAGAAGAGGTTTTGCAAAGAACAGGAGAGTGCTAGGTGAAGGAATTGGAAGGAAGAGTCATAGAAGGAGGAAAGGGACACAGAACAGGGAGGTGGAGGGCCATTGGAAACGATGTTGGATGACTTCAAATGTTGCCCGGGGCTGGGTGGTGCTTATTAAAGAACTAATAAGTCACTTCCGTTGCCCTTCCTTTCCATGCGTCCTGCACCTTCAGGATTTACCTCTTCTTGTTAGAACCCCCCCCACCCCGTGCTCAAAGAGAGGTTTTAAATTTTACACCTCCTGACCCTGCCTTTTTTTCTCTTAGAAGTGCTTGTAATTAGCACTTGATTAGCTGATTAAAGTTGTGGGACTGTACCTGTAGTAGGTGTTCAACAAGTATCTGCTAGATGGATGGAGAGATGGGTGGTGGGTTGGTTGGCTGAGGTGAAAACTGCCAGCGAAAATGAGGTTTCCAGATTAGCTAAGAACTTCATTAAACCACTGCCGCCATTCCCCCACCACCAAGTAAAGTTGAGAGTTCTGACTGCAGCCTGGAATGCCTCTTTTTTTTTTTGACTGTAGTGATTTTTTTAAACAGTGTTATTGAGATAAAATTTACAAACCAAAAAAAAAAATATATATATATATATTCATTGTAAGTGTAAAAACAATTATTTTTAGTAAATTTACAGAGTTGTGCCACCATCACTGCAGTCCAGTTACAGAATATTTCGATCACCGTGAATAAGTGATTTTCATCTACTTTCAAAATATATCATGTTTGAGTGAACCAGATAATTCCCCCATTGCTTCACTTCCTCCAGAATTGCTGGGTAAAAAAATTTTAACCTATGTCTGCTGCAAACACATTCATGCTACTTTCTATAGGCATAGACTAACTGACAGGTGTTTATTATCTCTTTTATCTAGCACTTAGCAACATGGCCAAATCTCTCACTCTACTTCAAAACCAAGGAGAGCCAAGGCATATGGGTTGGATTTAGTGTTCCTAATATCACTTGGTCACCAAAGGCACAGCAGTGCTTACTTGGAATCAAATCTATGTTAAACCAGGGCTTCTCCCACGCACTTAACCACAGTGAGAAGCTCTCTCCACAGGGACAGTACTACAGAGTTAACCCAACAATTCCACAAAGAACTCACGCATCATCATCAAAGGACCCAAGAGCAACAGCCAAAAGAGACTACTCAAGTGGGTAAAAATAATGAACATATCTGATATTTAAAAAGGACTTACCACAATAAAATTTACTAAAACAAAGGACTTACCATGTGCAGGGCACTTTTCAAAGAACTTTAAATATGTTAACTCATATTAATCTGAATAATAACTCTATTATTATTCCCATTTTACAAATGAGAAAACTGAGGCTTAGAGGGGTTAAATGACTAGTAAATGGTGGAGGTGGAGTCAATTCTGGGCAGTCTGTCTTTAGAATCTACGCTCCTGACTACAATGTTGCTGTTGTTAGGCCCTGTCCAGTCGACTCCAACTCATAGTGAGTCCATGTGACAAAGCAGAACTACCCCTACAGAGTTTCCTAGGCTATAGGGCAATGAGTTTTAACCTTTATGGAAGCAAACTGCCAGGTCTTTCTCCTGCAGAGCCTCTGGGTGGGTTCGAACCACCAACATTTGGTTAGTAGCTGAGTGCTTAACTGTTGTGCCAACAGGGCTCCTTACCACAATAGTACACTGCTTGGATAGGTATAGATGAACTTTCTATTCATCTGCAGAGGCTGGGCAATGAAGTGCAGAGAAAAAATAAAGGAAACTAATAAGGTTTCTAAGGCTTGGATTCCAAAAGGAACATAATACTTATCAACTCTTTTCCAAAGCCCTTTAAACTACCCGACTGCCCACATATCATTCTATTAGTAGGCAGTATAATTAAAATAACTTCAGTGTAACACATATTCATTGAGCACGTACTATGTGCTCTATGCATGAACTATGCTCGGAACCAGGGGATATACAAAGATGAAGAAGAGTCTCTTCCCTCTAGGACTTCACAGTCTTTTCAACTTCCTGCCATAGATCATCACCATAATACTGAATTTAGTCTTTTATTTTCCCCACTGATTAGTAAAATGGTTTCTAGATTACACTGTTTTGGAGACTGGTAGGAAATCCCACTGTAAATCAAAGTAAGTACCATCCAACGAAGATGAAGTTCCGAATGAAGTTTGTTTGGGAAATCAGAAGCTTTATCTTAGAAAGGAAATAATGAATATATGAAAGACGTAAAATCCCAGATAGAAGAAGATTGAACTGGGTGTTTTATATGCTTAACTGAATTAATTGAGACAGGAATTAACTGAGATAATGCCACCAGAAGATGGTGTCTTGGTAAAGGACCTTTAAGAAAAGGAGTAGGGGTCAGGTTCAGTTCTCCTAAACACTCCTAAAGTGAGCACCTCTTATGTACCCTCTGTACTAGTAATGGAGATAACAGCAAGACTAAGACCCAGTTCCCACGCTGGAGGAACTTAGATTTACTAGTACAGGTGGTAACGTACTGTTCTCATTCTCTAATCATCTTGTAATTCTTTATGACCTCGCTCTGCACTCCCATCTCTTAACATTCTGCATACTTTCCTGGGTACGGTACCCAAGACAAGTGTGCAGTGACTCAGAGCCCAATATCCCCTCCATCACATTTTACATATGAAGCATCCCCTTCCACCTGGGACTCATGCTCCGCTCACTCTCCTGCTGGCAGGCCACACGAAGACTGTCAAACAGGCATTTCTATCTGCTGCTTCCTCAGGTGGTAATGTCCAAGCACATAAAACATAGATCATTCATTTGGCTTTAATTCTCTACCCAGAAACAATTTACAAAAAACAGCTTCATTGTTCAGGACCCATGAGATAAGGCAGGAAAGCCTCCAAAAACATATCAGGTATTTTCCCCTCATCACTTACTTGTCCGTCTTAGTTTGGGGACTGGAACAGGAGAATTTACAGATTTGGTTGGTGTTCAGAGAAACATAAGCTTCTGGGAAAGCTCTCACCTGTTATCTCCTTTCCTGTAATCAGCTTCAGCTTTCAAATCCTCATCTCTTGGCGGAAAATAAGCTACTAACTTAGTATCATGTCAAAGCTAATGTGAAAAGAAGGAATCATTTCTACCTCCAGCGGGTGACATGTGGTGAATGTAGACTTTGCCGTCCCTGATGTTGTCAGGAGTGACTGACACCAAGTGGTCCTTCCACACTTTGATCCGGTTGGAAAATCCAATGATACTGAAACGATCCTGGGGCCGGAGGTCATGGAGAATGGTGAAGAGGGCATCCTTGGTCTAGGCAAACACAAATCCAAAACCAGTCACAAACTGAGGTGACTGACTCATTTAATCTTCACAACAACTCACCTGAGATAAAGTGACTTTTGGTTAGCAGCCAAGTTCTTAACCACTGTGCCACCAGGGCTCCTTCAAGAACAAGGCAGGATACAAATAAATAAAAAGAAACTCTCCATTTCATATTCCCCATCCAAACAATACGGTTGGAAATGGTCCTTCTTGTTTTAATGGATCTCCAGAAAATAACACTATCTAATCTCCTCTAATGGTGTCTGTCCATCAGTGGAGGCTTGCGTGTTGCTATGATGCTGAACAGGTTTCAGCAGAGCTTCCAGACTGAAATGGACTAGGAAGAAAAGCCTGGTGATCTACTTCTGAAAATCAGGCAATGAAAACCCTAGTCCCGCCCTCGACCAATCATGGGATGGCATAGGATCGGGCAGCATTTCATCCTGTTGAGCACGGAGTCTCCATGAGTGAGGGGCCTGACTAGGTGGCAACCAACAACAACAACAGATGGTGCCCACCAGGGATCACAGCTGGGCTCTGATGTGGCCCCTTTCCATTCTTCACTCATGCTGCCCCCATTATCACTACTACCAGAGAAGGGGGTGTCCAGATCGCAGCTCTGCCCTGTGCCATTTGGGCCCCTGCATTTAAGCTGCACCAGAGGCAAGGAATGGAACTTTCCCTTCCCCCACCCCCCGCTACAAAACTGAGCCCAAGCAGCTGCATGCTCTTGGCACTGCCCTCAAAGGAGTAAGCATTCCACTGTTACAACCACCATGTCATGAATGGTTATTAAACATTTCATAAGTAGAGAAGCATTATATAATAAGAGCCTCAGAGTGGGACCTCAGGGGAGCCCTTAAAAACCCTGGCTGCCTGCCCACAACTTCCTAGGGTACCCATTGATGCAGATTTTCTCAAATATTTCTGTGTCTGCGTCAAAGCAGACTCATTGGGAACTAACTCTGGCACAAAAGGTCTTTGTACCACAAACCCTGGGTTGTAAGACATAATACAAGGGGAGCCCCTGACATCACAGATGAAGTCCAAATTCAAAGGTATTCGATATGAGCCATTCCCATATTTTCAGCACAATGATTGTCCTGTTCTGTTAAACAACCCAATCACTTGCCTCATTGTAAAACGTTTACCAAGGAGTTTACATTTTCTCTTTCATTCTTCCACAGTCCTTTTGAATGAACTCAAGAGAGAAATCTTCTAGGATGAATAGCTTAAAATAAACCAACAAAGAAATCTAAGACCTTCTAAAAGTCTTATTTGAGCCATGGAAGAGAATCATGACCAGCAGATATATACCATGAAACATCCCTACATTTCTTAGAGATAATTTTGGAATATGGACTATGTCCAGTATAAAATTTGGCTACAGGTCAGCCTTCGCCCTTTCAAAGGTGGGCAGAGATAATGGACACTGGGGTGGGAGTGGGGGTATTTACATTATTTCCATCAATCTTTCCTGATGCCAGCAGGAGGGAAGTCCTCAGTGCCTGGGACATCCTGCTCCAGGGTGGCAGTGCAGTCATTTTATCTGAAGGGACAGGCAAAAATAGTCAGTGACTCCATCAAACCTTGCAAGAATGGATGCTCCATGCCACCTTAAACTACTTGTCCACATATGCAATGAGGAAGATGAAAACGTCTACCATTTCAGCGTCAGTTCTGTCACCTCTCCTGGCCACACACTGCACTGTCCCGAGTCACCTCTGGGTCATGTTCACGGTCAAGACTAGAGTAGCCATGACTTACCAGCAGATGTCGCTAGACATGGCCATCAATTCTGCTTTGGTGGGGTATTGAAAGGTCATGGTATTTCAAGACCACAAAAACTTATTCTATAAAAGGTAGCTGAACCTTATATTTACACTCTGCAAGTCTTTCAATGAATTGAAGAAAACTTTTCTGAAATCTTACCATGACTTACCCATCAAGTAATCAGATTTTTCAAAATTCCAACTTTAGGAGCAAGGAAATAAATTGAGTGAAAAAGGTCATTTCTCTACAGTATATTTGCATCTATATGGTTGTTATATCTAGCAACAGATTGGCTGCAGAGAAGAAACCAAAACGTTTAAAAATAATGTTACCTCACTGACAGCAGTATAAGTACAATTAAAGAAGTTGTGCAAACTCAGAGAGGAAATCAATGATAGCTAAAACTTTTTTTTTCCTACTGGCCAAAATGTTCTTTATGGAGAAACACCAGAAACCAATAAACTTTCTCTGTCTAAATGGAAAATTTGAAACAGAAGCCATAATATCTTACAATACTTTAAAACAGTTTAGTAAATGCTAAATATTAACTTGAAATTTCACCTAAAGGTAAATGTAGAAAACACTGTTTCTCTGGTGTCTACATTTTAGTGTTCATACTATTATAAAAAGCACATTTCTTAGATTAAGCAAAACCATAGGGCTCCAGTATTTAAAAATACACTATTTAGCACTATTATTTCATTTAATGTTTGAATTCTAAATTTCAAATGCTCTTTTAATGCAGTATTGTGCTAGACAATATTACAACGCTGATTCTGATTACCTACTTGCATATATGTTTAATTAATCTGTGTAAAAAAACAAGTTACTTCTTCATAGCAAAATAAAGTACCTTTTTAGTAAAGATTCAGATCTAAATGCCAATATTACCTCAGGGCTGGTTCTAAAACAGAATGATTATGTTAAAGACTAAATTCTGGCTAAAGTCAGCCTTAACTAAAAAATGTCTGAGTAGGTTTATATATTAGAACTTTTTGTTTTTGCAACATAAGCTTAACTAAATTTCTTAGTCCTTATGTTGGATTGCATTACTCGAACTTAAGAAGCAAACTATCTTTCATCTTAACCCTCTGGCTTATGTTAAGATTAGTTATCTAATGTTTTGACTTTGCCGTGACAAATGTATCAAACATATGTTTAATAAGGTCATTGTACAGCTTTTTTCTCAAAAGCTCATAACACTTTGCCAATAATATTTCCTTAATTCTTTGTAATGTATTATAGATTGAATAAGGAGCCCCTGGTGATGCAGTGGTTAAGCACTTGGCTGCCAACTGAAAGGTTGGCGGTTTAAACCCACCAGCTGCTCCGCGGGAGAAAGATGTGGCAGTCTGCTTTGATAAAGATTACAGCCTTGGAAATACTATGGGACAGTTCTACTCTGTCCTATAGGGTCGCTATGAGTTGGAATTGACTTGATGACAACAGGTTTTGTGTTTTTATGGATAAGATTGTGTTCCTCTCAAAAGATAAAGGCATAACTTGTTTTATTGTGCTTCGCTTATTGCGCTTTGAAGTTAGTGTGTTTTTTACAAATTGAAGGTTTGTGGCAACCCTGCATCAAACAAGTCGATTGGCACCATTTTTCCAACAGCATGTGCTAACTTCATATCTCTCTGTCACACTTTGGTAATTCTTGCCATATTTCAAACTTTTTCATTGTTTTTATATTTGTTATGGTTATCTGTGACCAGTTATCTTTGATGTTACTATTGTAATTGTTTTGGGGTGCCACGAATTGTGCCCATATAAGACAGCGAACTTAATCGATAAATGTTGTGTGTGTTCTGACTGCTCCACTGACCAGCTGTTCTCCCAACTCTCTCCCTCTTCTCGGGCCTCCCTTGTCCCTGAGACATGACAATATTGAAATTAGGCTAATTAATAAGCATACAATTGCTTCTAAACATTCAAGTGAAAGGAAGAGTCGCACATCTCTCACTTTAAATCAAAAGCTAAAAATGATTAAGATTAGTGAGGAAGGCATGTTAAAAGCCGAGACAGCTGAAAGCTAGGTCTCTTGTGCCAAACAGCTAAGCTGTGAATGCAAAGGAAAATTCTTTTATTTACTGATTTATTTATCTTATTGAAGTTTAGATGAAGGTTTACATAACAAACTAGCTTCTCATTAAACATTACATCTATTGTTTTATGGCATTGGTTAACTCCATGACATGTCAGTACTCTCCCTTGTCGACCTTGGGTTCTCCATTACCTGCTTTCCTGTCCCCCTCCTGCCATCTAGTCCTTGCCCCGGGGCTGGTGTACCCCTTTAGTCTCATTTTGTCCTATGGGTCTGTCTAATCTTTGGCTAAAAGGTAAACCTCCAGAGTGACTTCATTACTGGGCTAAAAGGGTGTCTGGGGGCCATACTATCAGGGTTTCTCCAGTCCCTGTCAGGCTAGTAAGTTTGGTCTTTTTTTTTTTTTAGTTAGAATTTTGTTCTACATTTTTCTCCTGCTCTATCCGGTACCCTCTATTGTGATCCCTGTCAAAGCAGTCAGTAGTGGTAGCCAGGCACCATCCAGTTGGACATGACTCAGTCTGGTGGAGGCTCTGG